GGACAGTTGCTGCCTGGGGACCGAAAGGACAGACAGGAAGTGACATCATAACAAAACGTCTTGAGGGAAGTTTAAATAACAAAAGTCCGACTGTCAGTTCGCCTTCGAATCAAACAAAGTAAACAAACTAATGTTTACGTAAACAGGATGTCCTAGATGTACCTTCTTCGTGTGTAGCTGGAGGTTCTCTCTCCATCCTGAACTCCTCCTTGGTCTCCTCCTCCAAGCACAGCTTCCCTGAACAGACAGAAACCTTTTGAGGCCTCAAGTTCACGATACCGCCGCCAGCATGTTTTTTTAAACCACCACGGAAAAGGAAGTGACCATATTAGGATGTAGAGACGCTGTTTACGCGCAGAATACGTATACCTGTCAGTGTGTAGCCCCGCCCTAAAGCGTCCCCCTGCTTCATGGTCTGTTTGACTCTAAACGGACCATCATCTACTAAATGAACATCATCTGTATTGAAGAAGACTTGAAACTAGAGACTGAGACATAAACTCATGTTTACAATGTTTACTGAGGGAATAAATCAAGAGAGAAGTAGAGTCATTTCCTCATAGACGTCTATGGGAGCAGAGGAGTCGCCCCCTGCTGGTCACTACAGAGAAGTAGAGTCATTTCCTCATAGACGTCTATGGGAGCAGAGGAGTCGCCCCCTGCTGGTCACTGCACAGAACACATCACACGCGCTTCATTTCCCCTATTTGCATCAAGTCTTAATAAAAACATGTCAGCTGTTGTCTCACCTTCTTTAACTTCCTGGATGATGTCATCAGGCAGAGAGAAGCTCTTCTCGGTGTTTGGAAACGGCAGGATCTCAGACTCGTGCTGCATCTCTCACACACACAGACAGACACACAGTCAGCTCATGCTCAGACTCACGTAGTGTGTGTGGTTGTGTGTGTCCTCACCAGGGCCTGCATGTCGTACATGGTACCCAGATGGTCCCAGATGACGGACGAGGAAACCTGCCGTCCGATGTTCTGACTGAACTTGTCTCTGATGCAGATCATGTGGAAGTGACGGTTCACTCCTGTAGACAGTAACACACACAGAACCTGAGATGTAACATATCAAGCGTCAAATTAGCAACTAATTCTATCATGTCATCTATCCGGCGGTCCTTGAACACATCTGTTCTGTAAAAAAAATAATTTTAACTTGTGATATTTCATGGGAAACATTTTATTCTTCATGACTTTATTTTGAAAAAAATCAGTTAAATACATTAAGTTCTGATCTCCTCAGGGAAACTATGACGTCTGTGGCTGAATTGGAATTGTCCTTTCTTCTTAGGAAGGTTCCTCACTGAGTGAAGTGAAGTGGCTCCAGGATGAGAGAACGGTTATATTCTCTAATGATAAGGAAAGGAGCTTGAATGCTTCCTTACCTAGATCCTTTAGCATATAAACCACTGAACCATCCTTCACCATAGGAAAGGAGATCATTCCGTCCCACAATTCCTTGTGGCGGGATATTTAAATAGTGGCGTATCGTTGATCAGTTTACGAGAAATAACGATGATGACGTCGAGATGCAGATCATGTGAGTTTGCATCACTTGTGATGTTAATAAAGTTTCCCTTTGAACCGGGTTGTTTGTGTGTCTGCACGACTCACACTAACAACACATGAAGCATCTGAGACGCTGCAGACTGACGTCCCCAACAAGCGTCTCCGTCCATCACAACTAGCAGCGCAGTGGAAGAGTCCATTCACTAAACACCACCTTGTCCTTTCCTAACTCCTCATCAACTCTCCTAACCATCTTTCCTTTGACCACACGTTTTCCACAGAGGTCAATGAATTGTGTTTAGGAAGTGAACACAGAGAAGGCCGGATGAAGCAATAACAATTACCTGTATGTGTGTGTATTCCTACATGTGTAGCATGTGTGACACTTCAGATTTATTATCATTGTGCAATGACGGAATATATTTATCATACAACCCTTCGATGGGAACCAATCTGCATCACTATACTGTGATATTAGTACATTTAGTTACTACTTCCAGCACTTGAATTCAGTACTAGTAGTGGCAAAGTACGTTTGGTAATAACTGGTAACTTTAGCTGTAATCTTTTATTTTATCTTTATTCCAGTGCCATCGGTTATTGTTGTGGTCGTCGTGGTTTTCATTAGGCTCATTTCTGTTGTTATTGTTCCTTGGGGAGATACTTCCGGTTTGTAATCCCTTAAAAAAAAAAAGATGACGTCACAACAATCCAAACTACACCAACACGTAACAATTCCTGGACCCTGCGGGACTCCGAGGAGCCCGCGACCCGCGGTTTGAGAAACGCTGCGGGTTTAAACGGGCCGTTAACGGCCACAGAAGCTAACGTGCTAGCAGCGTTAGCTCCCCCTCTTACCGACGGGCTTGTGTCCGATCATCGCGTGGAACAGACAGACCTCCACCTCGTGGCTCCAGACCACCGAGTCCTCCCCGGGAACCAACCCGGAGTCCGGGGGCTTCTCGTCGGGCTGGTTCAGCGTCACGTCGGCCTCCCCCATGTTCGACCGGAGAAAGGGGCTCTCGAGAAAAGGAGACGGGAGGACGAGCGAACGCTGCTACCAGCTAGCAGAGTCTGCGCTTTAGCTCCGCCCTCCGCCGGCGGCCGGAAACACTTCCACATCCGGCTGTCGGTTTATTTCATTTCCAGAATAAATGTCTTCGGGGAAGGAAATCTGTGAGGCGCTTTAATTTTGGCATCAACAAATCTTATGTTGTAAACAATATTAAAAAAATACAAATTAATTGACTAATGTTTAAAGTGAAAATCTAAGATTTAATAGATATAGAATCTGTGCGGCGATATATTAGTCTGATATGAAAGACTCCACCACTACTACGTAACATATTTTGAGGTGGAGGTTAGAAACAATGACGTCACAAAGCAACGAGAGAGAACTATATGAGCACTTTGCCACATTCCTAATAATTAAAAAACAAATTGAAATGGTAACACTGACTTCCTTTTCAACAGTCTCATGTCACCATTCTGACAGAAAATCTTCAAGAAAAAGTTATCATCCAAATAACAAGTGTTGTTTATTGTTAGATTACCTCTCCACTACACATCTAGTTAAAAACATGGCAGTGTGGGGAAGAATGTGAGAAGGGTTAAATGTAAACTTTCTACCAATTATTTGCATTTTTCTTCAATTAGAATGACAGATTTTAGCAGTCTGATAAATAATTAATATAATGAGATGACTTTGGATCTGAAGAGGAAGCGAAACAAAGAACCAGACGGACGCAGAGTTATGCTTCTCTACACGGAGATCAAAACACCCCAAAAAGGTTTATTGCAAATAAAATATATTCAGGGCCATAAAAACGACCTCCTGCACAAATCTAACCAGAGAAAGACAAAATGTTTGATACGTCATTTAAAACGATGATGCGCTACTGAACGACACGGAGCGAAGGATGTGGATTTCCTCTCATGTTTTTACATCAAAGTACAAAAACTGTGCATCTCTTTATAAAGCGACATTGATCAACATCGAGAACAATAACCAGGCCGATCACGTCCAGTCGGAAGCTTTAAATAAAACTACTTCTTCAAATTATAGATTATATATTCATTTGACAAAGTAATACAAATGGGAAATTAGAGACTTTACTTTAAATTTCAGATTGAGACGCAAAACCGCTTTAAGAAAATGACTGTTGATGGTTCCAGTAGGTTTTTGGCACTTGAGATGAATTAAAGACAAACATTCACGATCTCTCGTGCTCTGATGCTTCCATTTGGATCCTTTGGAGTTTGACGCGTCAAAGTCAGACTTTTTACTAAAACTTGTACTTATTCAGACTTGGATCTTTGAAGCGTCACCAGAAAGGTATTCAGATCAGACGCTGAAGAACCAGAACTAGTTCAGACTAAGAACAGAACATCCTCCATTGAGCTTCTTAAAATTCTGACCTTCAACAAGAAACAATAAAACTAAGTAAAGCGAGACTGAAAACACTGGCGAGAGGCGTGTGTGTGTGTGTGTGTGTGTGTGTGTGTGAGAAACAAAGAAAAAGCAGCGCTTGTTTTACTGTCGTTTGAGGCCGTTTAAAGCAAACAGCGGTTCAGACCAAACGCAAAGGAGACACTTTGTGGCATCGTCTGTGGACCCGAAGCCCCGCCTCCCAGCTGCTGGGGACCTGTCAATCACCGTGCAGCCAGTGTGGGAATGCAGCTTTAACACGGGAAGCTCTGACTTCACGTTAGACGAGAAGCAGCGAGAGGAATATTTGCACTAAGTTCAGAAACATCTTTGCGTTTGGTCTGAACGGTTTCTGGTCCATCTGAGCTGCAAACACAGAAGTTCAGGACTTCGAGAGGAGTCGCAACGAGGCTCCGAGTCGCAGTCTACCCAAACGACCTTTACAATACAAATCTACCGTTGCCACGGAGACCGGCGGGGCCTTCACGCGGTATCAGACAACACTCAGCGGCAGACAGGAAGCTGGAGGCGGGCTTCAGTGAAATGTGGTGGCAGCAGGCTGGATGGAGAAGGCTTGAGGAAGGGGGCGGGGCAGCGATGGATGCTATTGGTCCTTCTTCTCGGTTTCGGAGTCTTCTTTGACATCTGTATCCTCAGGAGGGGTCTCCTCGTACCTGGAGACCAGGACGAAGAAACAAAAGCATCAGGATCATTGTCTCCATTTCCATCATCAGCAGAACTTCACTTCATTATTTTCAAATTGTTGAAAAATAGAAAAAGAAACTAAATAGAAAGCATGAAATCTCAAATAGTTTTATATGAGAATGCGTTTATTAAGGATTCATTCCGTTCGCTGAATATATTTGGTATATTTAAGTGTGAAGAGAGTTCCAGAGGATTCATCTCAGAATTAGTTAAGTCTCCTCATAGTCCAGATAAACTAAAGATAAAACACGAGCCTCTGATGTCGTGAGGTGAGCGCAGACTTTTATCTCTATTTATTTCTATTACTCTGCTGTAAACTTCCACCTGTTCACTTCGGACAAGATTGTTGTCTGAAATGGAAGATTTGAAAATGTGATTTTTGCAGATTTCTTTATAAAAAAAAGAAAATTGCATTAATCAACGGTCTGATTACCTGCCCCGGAGACAGGTGTGTGTAGTGGTGGGGGAGGAGTTTAAAGAGGCGGGGCCTCTACATGGGGGTTGGCTGTAAACACCGGTGACGGGGGGAGGAGCCTGTTGCCATGGAGAAGGCATCCATGGAGCTAGCCAGGCTGGCGGGCGAGCCGCTGACTGTTGGGAAGGAAGTGAGCCGGGGGGAGCAGGGGAGGAGCTCCTCTGATGACTCATAGCTAACCACGGGGGGGCGGCGGAGAGGAGGAAGAAAGGGGAAGAAAATTTAAGAGAGGGGAGGGAATGTATAAGTTTATATCTTAAACTGAAGTTTAAAGCGACTAAAGAAATCTGCTGCTAAAGTTTTTGAGACAGAGGGACAGAGGAGAGGAAGACAAAGGAGACGAGGGAGGACAGGGAGGACAGGGCGCAGGTCAGAGGAGAGAACTGAACGAGACGATTTTGGTCAGCGAGTACTTCCGTCTGATGGAAACGCGTCCGGCTTCCTTCACTACTGCGTCCATGCAGTCTGACACTTCAAATACTTGTGACAGACGCAGTCATTTATTCTGCCGTCCAATCACAGAGCGGAAAGGATTCAAAAACCACTAAAGCAGCCAATCAGCTGTGAGATGTCCACAGAGACGAGGGAAAAACACTTGTAAAGGAGGTTCTTAGATATTAAAGAAGCCTCACCTGAACAACTCGGTGAGTTCTCCTCTGATCAGAGCGACGACGACGGGGAAGCCCACGCAGGCCGGGACCAGGTAGAGCAGAGCGGGCTGCAACAAATATACATGCATAGATACATTTTGTATGTGTAGAGGTTCAGTACAGACGACCTCTGACCCCTGACCTCATACCTGTGCGTGTTTGAAGGTGTGCATGACGAAGATGGTGAGGCCCAGTCCGAAGATGTAGGCCAGGAAGCTGGAGTAGAAATAGGTCCTGCTGTTCTTCTTCAGGCTGCAGGAGGACAAGAGATATTAAGACTTTCCTCGGGAAGACGAGGAGGAGTAGAAGAGGAAGCAGAAGGTGGCGTTACCTGACGTCAAAGCGCAGCAGCAGGGCGATGAAGATCCCGGGGATGACGATGTCCCCCAGACCCAACATGGCAAAGTTACTGGCATCAAGTCCTCGCTCCAACAAGTCCTGAGGAAACACCACTGAGGACAAAGGAGACGAGGAGAGAAGAGACGAGTAACCACGTGAGCGCTTAACCCTCAGCGACCCGCCGCCTATCTGGTGTACTCACGTTTGATCGGCGCCTCGAAGGACCTGGCGACTGTTACCATGACGTTGGTCCCGAACACCTGCAGGGACACGGAATCAGAACACAGGTTGCTGCTGGTTACTGTTGCCATTCATCAAGTTATGGGCTCAGAAAACCTTTAAAAGGGCATTTTGGGGACTTAAATGAAAGTAAAACGCCATCACTGATAAACGTTTGTATGTGATTACATTTTGTCTCATAATACTCAGCAGCACGCGCCTCTTGTTCAGTGTTTTACCTTTGAAATAAAAGTCCCACTAGGGCGGTCACGATATCACATTCCTGTTGTGCGAGTATTGCACCAACATTTATTGCGATATGTGATATTATTGCAATTTTCAGACCATTTTATGCCACTGATAACATAAGTACGCTATTTCAAAGTACAAAGAACGTTTTATTTGTCTGAATCGTTAGACATTAGAATCCTATCCTATATAAAATTAAACAAAACAATAAGTGCGAGGGACACGGAGCGGGCGAAGCATCGGGCTGCAGGGAGAGACGGAGCGGCTCGGAGCCGCTAACAACCGGCCGGCCTGAAGCAGGCGACTTCAGAGAGTGCGATGTGTCATTTTATCGCATGTTGCGACCGGCCTGCGTCCCACACACGGTAAGCGGCCCCCAGGGGGAACGTAAACTTACTCATTTGGCAAAAAGGAAAAAAGGTATACAATGATCACAAAACCCACGGATAAACCGTTTGATTTAAATTAATCTGTTAAAATAAAAATCCACTCACCCAGAAGACGTCGTAGACAAACAGCCCCCCCAGCAGGATGCAGCCGGTACTGACGTTGTTCAGGTGGAGCAGCTCCACTCCGTTGAGGGCGAACGCCAAACCAAACAGGTTATTGGCTATCCAGTGCTGTGATGTCACCAAGCACAGAGACAGGTTATTGGCTATCCAGTGCTGTGATGTCACATGATCCATCATTCGAGTCTGTGACTGGCTGCCTGGTATAGTGACGTCATGGAAACGATGCTTTTGGAACCAACCATCAGGAGATAGTAGTCAGGCTTACCTTTTTCAACAGGTACCAGACTCCCACCACGGTGCTGATGAGCAAGCACACCAGGTTCTTGGTGTCAAACTCATAGTTCACTATTTCTGCAGAGAGACGGCGTGAAGAAGGTTACTGTCAGATTTAAATCTGAAGTGAAGAAAGGGCGAAACTAGCTTCTCTTTAAACAGCCTGGTATGGACTGTACGCGTGTTGTCATGGTGGACTGTACGAGGTGCTGAGAGGCCTCCTACCTTCTTTGGTCTCTTCGGAGCCCTGAGTGAAGAGCAGCTGGAACTGTTTGTTTGAGAAGGAATCAGGGAAGATTCTGGACATCAGGGGACTGCGGGACAGAGACAAGGACAGGTTAGTCGCAGGCATCAATGCAATATGATGTAATCATCATTTACAGCCAGAAGATCTAAAAATATAAAGAAAAAGGTCACCTGATTAAAAATAATGGTACTGTCATAATTTGTTTAAATGTGTCATTTAAAATCTAGTCACAATTGTGGAGATTCATTTCATACTTTTCACTCCCATTCGACCGTCTTTTCGGCTCTTTTCTCATATGCTAATTTGAAACTATGTAATGAAGAGAAAATATTTTTGGAATCACTCCACACTAAATGCTCGTTCTAGTTCTCTACATGACGGCTCTAGTTTCCGAAGAGGGTCAGAACTTTTGTTGGAGCATCGCTGTGCTTTACCTCATGGTGTGAGACAGAGCCAGGACGCCCAGGCCAAAGAAGTAGACGGACAGCAGCAGGTTGATGTACTCTTGGGAGAATACCTGCATGGGAACAGTCACACGTTACTCCCAAAGAAGAGAAAACGCTACCTGAGGCCCCTGCAGTAGGGGCGAGGAAACCCCGTTACCTTAAAGAAGAGGTAGAGCCCAAACAGAGTGCAGCTGGCGATGATGGGAAACCTGGCTGCGTCTCGACTGGTGATCGTCTCAGGCATGTCTGATGCATTCTGGGAGCAGAAAGACAAATAAGAGCTGGGCGTGTCGCTCTATAGCAGGGTTGCAGTGTGTATGTGTAAAAAAAAAAACATACAAAAGCCATGAGAGTCGGTTAAGAAACAAAGTCCACCCGTGGTAGAAGCACAAACTATCCCTCAGGTTCTATAGATTGAAGTGAAAGCTTCATGAGGTGAAGCTGCATTCTCTCTGGTGACCACCAGGGCGTCTAGAACAACGGTCCCCAACCACAGCACCGGTACCGGGCCGCACAGAAAGAATACAGAACTTATTTTCTTCCTCTCCTGACTTTTCGGAACAATGTTTTATTTTGAAAAATGAAAAAACACATTCTCCCCCGATTACATGCGCTTGTCCTTCCTGACACGTTTCAGGACACTTGTCTCGGTCACGTGACAATTATCTCAACGCTTATGGCCACAGGCCAGCGAAAATCAGACAAAGAGCCGACAACTCAGTCGGTTACAAGATGATCGGAAGTGTCAAACTCATTTCAGGTTGGGGTCAGATACGGTCCACGTCGACCGAACGCGGGCCAGACCTTTAAAATCATCGGGCGGGGAGGCGCTGACGATCCGCCCGGGGAACGGTGCGAGGTGGCGGCGCCGACAGGACGCCAAAGTCGTCCACACTCCGGATAAGCGGGCCGCGTGTTTGAGCGCTATGGATCAGGTAGAACCGCAGTGTCTCCCCGGGTTTACTTCATGGTTATAATGGTGGGAAACACTGAACCGGGAGCGTCGGTCATCGAAACATCGGCCAAATGACCCGTTTCAGACTTGATGAGCAAACACAGAATCCCTTTGTGTTCGTTTCTAAAGCCGCATAAAGACACACCTCACTTTATTTAAGACGCTGTGGGCCAGATTCTCAATAAAGAATAAAAATATTAACGGCAAACCCACCGGCCATGAAGATACGCATTTAACGTGGAATCTGCGTGAGGAGGAAGGAGGAGGACGGTTCGCTGTCGCTAAACCAGTAACCAGGCCGTGAGGATTGGAAGGGTGGGGATCACCCCCATAGACGTCTATGAGAAAATTACTACTTCTCTGCAGTGACCAGCAGGGGGGCGACTCCTCTGCTCCCATAGACGTCTATGAGGAAATGACTCTACTTCTCTGCAGTGACCAGCAGGGGGCGACTCCTCTGCTCCCATAGACGTCTATGAGGAAATGACTCTACTTCTCTGCAGTGACCAGCAGGGGGCGACTCCTCCGCTCCCATAGACGTCTATGAGGAAATGACTCTACTTCTCTGCAGTGACCAGCAGGGGGCGACTCCTCTGCTCCCATAGACGTCTATGAGGAAATGACTCTACTTCTCTGTAGTGACCAGCAGGGGGCGACTCCTCTGCTCCCATAGACGTCTATGAGGAAATGACTCTACTTCTCTGTAGTGACCAGCAGGGGGCGACTCCTCTGCTCCCATAGACGTCTATGAGGAAATGACTACTTCTCTGCAGTGACCAGCAGGGGGCGACTCCTCCGCTCCCATAGACGTCTATGAGGAAATGACTCTACTTCTCTGCAGTGACCAGCAGGGGGCGACTCCTCTGCTCCCATAGACGTCTATGAGGAAATGACTCTACTTCTCTGTAGTGACCAGCAGGGGGCGACTCCTCTGCTCCCATAGACGTCTATGAGGAAATGACTCTACTTCTCTGTAGTGACCAGCAGGGGGCGACTCCTCTGCTCCCATAGACGTCTATGAGGAAATGACTCTACTTCTCTCTTGATTTATTCCCTCAGTAAACGTTGTAAACATGAGTTTATCGTCTCAGTCTCTAGTTTCAAGTCTTCTTCAACACAGATGATGTTCATTTACAAAACCACTAACTTAAGGCTTCATAACGTCCACAAACTAACGGGGGTCACCATGACGATGTCCACCTATAAACAAAGTTTGCCTCGCCGTCCAGTGGACGATTCACCTATTGATCAGTAAACCAAGGTAATCAATGAAAACAGCTGGGTAGAATTCACTGAAGATCCAGACTCCTCCTTCCGTGCTTTAACTCTCTGATGCTGAGACACCAACAGGCGGACACCAGTCTCCATGTATGAGTGGAGTACCTGAGCAGGTGTCGATCAGAGGAGCACTGCCCCTCCTGTAAGGTTAGTAAACACGTCCGTGTCCATGCTCATGTGTTGGTGCTGTGAACAAGCGGCTCTCATACTCACTCTGAACCCCGAATCGTAATCATTTTCCCCAAGCTCCTACGGACAGACGGGATGGATGGACAGACAGGTGTGCACAGACAGACAGACAGGGAGAAAGCGGTCAGATCGGCAGAAAAGGGGGAGGGGCAGGAAGCAGGGCCCGAAAGAGACAGTCAGGAAACCGCCTTGGAAAAGGCTGAGCAGAACCGTTTGAGTGATTAAAGGGGTTTTGTGACCTCATTTTAAAGATGGCCGACAGACGAGAGGGAGACCGAACCGGTGAGAGAAGATGACCTGCCACAAAATACCTGTTAAACACCAGGTAAAGCGCTCCGAGCGTCCTCGTGGTAGTTCACCGTGACCACGGCCGTCTTTATGTCTCACGTCACCGTGACAACAGACATCTTTATGTCTCACGTCACCGTGACAACAGACATCTTTATGTCTCACGTCACCGTGACAACAGACATCTTTATGTCTCACGTCACCGTGACAACAGACATCTTTATGTCTCACTTCACTGTGGACACAAAAACCAGCATCGCTGACAGCGACTAAGAGCGTGCTGTTAATTCAACATACGTAGTAGAGAAGAAGTAGTAACGACTCAACTAGTGACGTTACGAGTTTACTTCCAACCCCTTCGACCAAACAGGGAACCGTGCATGAAGCACAAAAAGAGTGCAAATAAACCCACTCTAGTACACGTCACACACACACACACACACACACACACACACACAATGTGGCAACAGAGGGTAAATAAACGAGACGAGCCACTAAAGACAATAAGGACGCGTAGATATTTAAACGTTGTTTTGGTGGTTAAAATGTTGACAGCTGTCACGTCAGTTCGGCCTTTTTCATGCTCACTTCAGAACAAATGATCGATTGTGACGAATGAAACATTTAGAAGCCCGAGCCGAGGACGGAACGTGCGAGGAGGTTATTATTTAACGTGAAGACGTTTCAGACGGAATCCAGCCGTTAGCCCCGCTAGTTAGCCGTTAGCCCCGCTAGTTAGCCGTCAACCGAACCGACGTTAGTTAAGCGGCTAGCTCAAGCAGCTAACCGTTACTAGCCGGCGGAAGCTACCGGCTGGGCCGACGTGACACCGCGTCGCCGCGGGAACGACCGTTACCTTGGATTTGGAGCAGTGGACGGAGCGAAGGGCTCCGAAGAAGATGGGCAGCAGCGCCATGAACACCAGGCTGCCGTACGCCAGCGCGGTGCCCTCCGGTGAGGCGACGAACTTTGCCGTAGCGTTGAGCGCCTCGGTCCCGTTAGCGTCCGTCGCGTTCAGGGCGTCCAGGACCGCGGCGGCGGCGGCGGCGGCCTCCGGCGCCGAGGCCCGGGCTTGTTCCGTGTCAGCCATGGTAGTTGGTTCAGCGGCGGGCTTCGAAGGGGCAGCGGGGTGGAACGCGGGCTGAGCGGCGGGCGGGCGGAGGCGGCGGTGTGCGTCGCCTTCATACAACCGGGACGCTGCGTTAAGGCCACGTTTCCTAAAACACGGAGCAGAGAGGCGGAGGCGCAGAGGAGGTCTCACTCTGCGGCGGTTTCCGGGAACCAGAGACGTCACGGACGTGCTTCTAAGAACAAACCAAAGACATACGACATAGAACATATGAGGATGTATAATACATGACTACAATATAATGTGGGTAGCTACATACACACAACATTATTACGTAGTCGGGTCGCCTGCTACTTTACTTACACTACAGACAAAATGAAGTGCCTGTATAGAAAGCGAGTGGGGAACCTCTTCACTAGTATACACGATGTTCGCAGGGAGGAAAACCAACATGTCTTCTTTGTTGGTGGAACCGGTTGTCGTGAGACGCTCCAATATGAAGGCAAATCAGCTGCATGCGCGCGCGGAAATCAAATATCCGCGAGATATTTGCTGGTTGTGAAACCTGTTTTCTGTTGGTCTTCCAGGCAGTAAGGGGGCGGGGCCAGCCACCGGTACCTCTACCTGGTCCACATCTACAGACCGACCTGACCTTCTTAAGTTATGCTTCACAGAACTATAGAAGCCCATTTCAAAACATCGTCCCGGGCGCACGTCCAAACAGAAGGACATAGTACCTGAACCGGCAGTAAATATACATACATATAGAATCATAACTTCAACATGCCCTTTTATATTGGAGTTGTGACCAAAATATGTTTTCACATGATATTTTATCTGACCAGGCATCAACCTTTGAGTCTGCAAAATAAAGTCAAGTCTTTATGTGTTAAAGCTGCATTCTCTGTAGTGTCCATCAGGGGGCGACTCCTCTGGTCCTATCGAAGTATGAGAGAATGACTCAGTAAACACTGTGAACATGAGTTTATGGTCTCAATCCCAAAAATAACAAAGATGGTGAAAAAAAAAGGAGATGGGGGCTTTTAAAAACCAAGATGACAAGGACCTTAAACAAAGTCCTTTCGTTCCTTGAACCTCACTGTGTGGTTTCCCTGAGGGGCGTACAGGTAAATCCTCCTCACCTGTGTTGGGTGTTGACGGGACGGACTCCGAGGCAGCGTTGTTAAATGTATTCAGCCAAGGTGAATTAAAGTAACTTGTACATGAAATAACTAGTATCGGGAATCGGGAAACATTTATTGCCATAATATGTCAGACATACAAGGAATTCAACATGGCGGCTGGTGCATAACAGCAGACAGTACGACAATAGACAACAAGACAACATGGTGCAAGAGGAGAAAAATAAAATATAATGCTATGGGTTAGTAATATATAGTAGTTAGTTTAAGGTCAAGTATATAGTTTAAAAATAAAGGAATACAAGTTAAAGTTAAACATTTAAAAATATTTAGAAATTTTAAATAAACCAGCGCCAGCGAACAGAAAGTGGCGTGTGAAAGTGTGAAATAAATTAATTTAAATAATAAAGAATTCACTGAGTGAGGATTGAGAATAGAATCAAACTTATCATGTAAGTTGCATTTTGATGTTCTAGCCAGTTGAGAATTTCTAAAACAATGATTCATATCTCATAAGCTCATGACAAATTGAATATTTAAATCTAGAAAAGGAAAACTAAGTACACTCTAACAAATAAATGTTCTTACCTGGACCACGGACGGTTCTTTGGTTCTAACAGAAGAACCCTCTTGTGGTGTTCCTAAAGATTTCTACTTTAAACGAATAATGACGAGTTTCACACCCAAAGGTTCCACACACAACGGTTCACCCTAAATGTTCTCTGGAGGTTCTATGCAGGACATTGCCACCTTCTAAGGGTACAAACAAGATCCCTGGGTTTCCACCAAGAACCCTTTTGTACCGCAAAAGTTCCATCTAGAACTCACTACGGGTTCTTTATGAGGTTTATAAACGCCGGGTGCAGCGTCATTTTGCCACTTGTGCGTGTAATAACCTTTGAAGGACAAGGTTCTAGCGCAGATGAATGGTAGACCTCCTTCAGGTAGAACCTGTTTGGAACCATTCATTCCAAGAGTATAGAAGCTATAGCTGACGGATGAATGTAGCGGAGACAACACCGGTGTAGCAGATGAAGGGTCTCATGTCCTGACAGTGGGAGACCTGCCATTGACCATCGGCACTGAAATTTGCTGCCACACAAGTCTCTTTAGAAAGTTTCGGTTCACCTTGTTTCCAGTTTGTAAATGAGGAGTGAGTCCCGTGAGACCACTTCCATCCATCTCTGAATAGACCGATCCAGACTATTCCTTGTGAGGGAACCAGATCCTGCACCTTCCGGTTCTCTGCCAGGTTCCTCACGCTGGCCAGGTCTGTGTGGTTGTCTCTGCAGTAGGTCTGGGCCTCTCTCCACTTCATGGGCTCATGCAAAATTCTGGGAACAATTATTTGACTAGTGTTTGTGATGATGTATTTATGTTTGTGAAACAAGCCTCTGTTACCTGCGCGGTTTCTTTGAACTCAAATAAAGCAAGTGATCCTTTGGAATGGGAAGAGATGCATTTAAGAAGTCCCCACATCTGAGGCTACTTTTTTATAATATTCATTATAATTATAATGGCCAGCTCTGCAGCCAGAGACATCAGAGTTATGTTACATCCACGTGTAACGTGCCACAGAATCCCACACAAAGATGCGATGAGACGCAGCAACGCGATTCTCGCGTTTCTCCAGTTCAGGAGAAGTTGCGTCAAACGTTCAAGTTGTAATACAGCATAGTCTCAGATATGAATAAAAAAGTGAGTTGTCCATTTGAGGATTTCACACGAATAGCGTGTTTATAGCGGGTTCTCATAGCATGTTCTCACAGCGCGTTCTCATATCTCGTTCTCATAGCGCGTTCTCATATCTCGTTCTCATAGCATCTCTCGATTAGACACCAGCACCTCAACGCTGATTAGCTTTCACAAACCAAAGCTGAAATATAACCTTTCACTTCACTTCACTTTGCATGGAATCTACTCGCTCGAATAATTAGCTTTGCTTTTGGTGTGAACGCAGCATTAATGTGCTTTTCCTGAGACAACTACATGACTCTGCAAATTGTGTAATGTAAATAGTCCACAGCTTCCTTTCTCTACTATGCTGCAGTAGACAACACTTTAATATGAGGGGCCGTTTAGGACTTAACTACTGAGACACTCTCACGTGTACTAATGAAACGTACGAATGAAACACTGAGCATCTCACTAGTGAACGTAAGAGCATCTCACTAGTGAACGTAAGAGCATCTCACTAGTGAACGTAAGAGCATCTCACTAGTGAACGTAAGAGCATCTCACTAGTGAACGTAAGAGCATCTCACTAGTGAACGTAAGAGCATCTCACTAGTGAACATAAGAGCATGTCACTAGTGAACGTAAGAGCATCTCACTAGTGAACATAAGAGCATCTCACTAGTGAACGTAAGAGCATCTCACTAGTGAACGTAAGAGCATCTCACTAGTGAACGTAAGAGCATCTCACTAGTGAACATAAGAGCATCTCACTAGTGAACATAAGAGCATCTCACTAGTGAACATAAGAGCATGTCACTAGTGAACGTAAGAGCATCTCACTAGTGAACGTAAGAGCATCTCACTAGTGAACGTAAGAGCATCTCACTAGTGAACGTAAGAGCATCTCACTAGTGAACGTAAGAGCATCTCACTAGTGAACATAAGAGCATCTCACTAGTGAACGTAAGAGCATCTCACTAGTGAACATAAGAGCATCTCACTATGTATGAATGAAATCTCACTGGCTTACGGAAGCATCTCAGTTACACAGGAAGACGGAAGCAAAGAGGGCAGACTTTGAACAGCGAAAAGCGCCAAACTTACGTAAACTTTACTACCACAATACAATAAATACCACCGCATTCAAGTGACAGAATGTAATTTTAGGACTTTTTCAGACGAGAAGCTGGTTGTTTAAGCAACAGTTTGCTCCGAGGATGTCGGAGATGTGAGGTGTAGGACCGTCTGACTTCTCCAGCACCGGGCGGTCAGCCTCATCTCAGAACATGGCCTATGAAAACCGCATCAGCTGGTCTTGCTAAAAACATTTTATTACAGTTGTTGACTGTAGTATTTTACTATCAAACCTTTGTTTCTTTTCATAAAATGTTGTAGTCCTGATCCTCTATGTGAACCAGTCTCACTGTAGTCCTGATCCTCTATGTCATAATCTTGTCAGTTAAAAAGTGGACAAATTAACTGTACTTGTACTTGTATTTGTATTTTGAACCCTTGAAAGAAATATACGTTATATTTATGTGATTCATTGATTTAGTTGTTGATTCAGCTGATCAATCTGACGGGTTTGTGGCAGCACTTGTTCAGACCGGAGCAGCACACTCCTTCTTTCCCACGGGCCCTGAAGGCAGCAGCCCGGGAGGGCGTGGCCAGCCTGGTAAGTCAGGAAAGGTGTTCCCGTCGTGAGGAGACGCAGCAGATTCAAAGCCTCCACCCGGAAGCAGAAGCAGCAGAAGGACTCACCTGAACAGGTAAGGAGAGCAGCAGACCCGGTACTGGATCCGCTCAGACCGTGAGGGACTCACTGCAAGTGTGTGTGTGTGTGTGTGTGTGTGTGTGTGTGTGTGTGTGTGTGTGTGTGTGTGTGTGTGTGTGCGCCAGCCAATGGGCGACTCACGTGACGGTGTGTTGGTTTGTGTTAAAGTGCTTGTGTGGTTTTCATATATTTATTCTCCCATTCACGCTTTTTAAATGTTCATTTGGATAAATTTAACAGTTCACTACTGACCCGCTTCATCAGTGTGTCAAGGCCTCGACACTGTACATGTCTTTTTTTTTAGTTTAAGTTTACTATAATAAAGTTCTGTAGAGTTTTACATTATGAATTGATCTACGATCGCTTTTGCTCTTGTCTGATTAACCGTTTGTTCTATGAAAAGTCTGAATTGTGAGAATTGATCCTCACCTGTGATTCTCAAAGTGAAGTCAGAGCTTCATGTGTTAAAGCTGCCTTCTCTGTAGCGACCAGCAGGGGGCGACTCCTCTGGTCACGTGGAAGTCTACGAGTAAATGACTGTTTCCCTCTTGATTTTTTCCCCCGGTAAACATGAGTTCATGGTCTCAATCTCTGGTTTCAAGTATTTCTACAGTAGCCCCCAGGGGACACACTTCCACATTGAAGACCTGAAGACCACCGTAGTTCTCCAACACACCTGGAAATGGTGGATTCTTGTTGTTCTCTTCCCAACATTTGATTCAGTAATCTCTTTCTTTGGATACGACTCGGCTTGTTCACCAGCAGGTCTGAGCTCGCTCCCACTGCTCCTCCGTCAGACCGGTCAGACCAGTCGGACCAGCACCAGTGGGACGCTGTCAGGGTGTCTCCGCCCAGCTGCGGAGCGCCAAGTCGCTCGTGACCACTTCAGTTCCCCCTCAATTCAAACTTTCAACAAACAATTTTTTTTAAGAAGAAGTGAAACTAAACACTAAACGTGTGTGTGTGTGAGAGAGAGATATTATAATCCGGTAAATGTTTAACTTTTACGCTACATCTATTTCTATAGATTCAGATGAAAGCAAAGTGTTGAATTTATGACTTTTACTTGTAGTTTTGCTGCTGTTTTTCACTTTTCTTGCCTAAATTATGTCCTTTGTCTTCTTCACAGTCGCACCATGGGGTCCAGCTCTCCTCGTCTTCCTCCCTTCTCATTCTTCATCCTGTTGCTGGAGGTAGTAACAGCTTCAGAGTTCACGATCTGCGCCTACAATGCGGAAAGATTTGACGAGGCAAAAGCATCTGACTTCAGATTGTTACACACAGTGAATCGGGTAGGACGCACACACACACACACACACACAGACACACACACACACACACACACACACACACAAGCAAACACGGAGACATTTTTTGTAGCTGTGATGATAATATTTTAGCACACAAAAGGTAAATGCACATTTGAGAGACTGCTGGGGTGGGGGAGGGTGTCTCCATGGGGGACAAAGTGTGGACACAGTTGGTTGAATGCATTGTTCTGTCTGTCTCCTGTCTGTGTAGATTGTGTCTCGCTGTGATATTTGCCTCCTGCAGGATGTGGTGGATTCTAAAGCCATCGAGACTTTGCTGGAGTCTCTCAACAGGTAAAGAGAAACTTGGTCCTCCTCTCTGGTACGGGTGGCTCTGTGGCTCTGTAGTATGTGGTCTTTGGTCTGTGGTCTTAACTCTGTAGTTTGTTGTATTTGGTATGTTGTCTTTGGGTACGTAGTCTGCAAATACTATGGTCTATAGTCGGTAACAAATATGTCTGGTCTGTGAATCTGTTGGTCTAGAGGTCAATAACCTCTTTGTCTGCATTACGTTAATTGGCTGGTCTAGTTTGTAAAAGTCTGTAGGTCAATAGGTCTGTTTGTCTTAAGGTCTGTATTATGGTGGTTTCTGAGTTTTCACGTCTATAGTCTGTGGTTCCCGAGGTCTCTAAATCTAGTACATAATTTGGAGGTCTATGGTTCTTATAATCAGGAGGTCTGGAAATATGGAGATCAGTACTCTAGGTCAATGGTCTGTAGTCTTCAGGGTCTCTAGGTCTGGAGGCTTTAGGTCCGGAGGTTGGTAGTCTTTAGGTCTGGAGTCCGGAGGTCTGTAGTCTAGGTCTGGAGTCTGGACCTAAAAGACTAAAGTCTTTTAGTCTTTAGGTCCAGAGGTCTGGAGTCTGGAGGTCTCTAGTCTCTGAGTCTGGAGTCTGTAGTCTCTAGGTCTAGAGTCTGGAGGTCTGTAGTCTTTAGGTCTCTCGGTCTCTGGGTCTGAAGGTCTGGAGGTCGATAGTCTGGGGTCTAGTCTAATGAATCTTTTATTCTTTAACACGTTGTTGTTTGACTGCTTTGCACAAACCGAAGTCCTTTACACAAGTTGGTTCATATTCAAAATTATTAATTTATTAACCATTTAGGATGTAAACCCGTTAAAAAGAGCCTCATTCATGAGAAAGTGTTACCGACACTGATCAGTAGTTCCAGTAATTACAAATCTCTCAAAAACAATATAATACACAACATGTGAGTTTACCAATTTAACGAGCCAGAAAAGGAGAAAGCGTTAGTGGCGGGATAGTAAGGATGAAAGTAGTCAAAACAGATTTTATAAACTGCTTCTTTATCCAAAACCAAAAGCGTTAAACGTCCACCAGTAGACTAAAGGATTTATAGGAGGTACCCGACTAATAATAACACTGCTGTAACCGCACTGTGTGTATTAATACATGTGGTCATCATTGTGTGTCTCCCACAGGGAAAGTGACAGGTACCGTGGACCTCATGAGCATGTATAACATCCTCTGATCATTAACCATCAGTCCCCGTTATCTACCCTCTTCACTAACACTAATGCCGGGCATGTTGGACTGCTGATAGGATGCTGTTTCTATCCCAAAATTAACTCCTGTGGCAAAAAAGTATTTATGCTACTTATAAGTTTTGTTCTGCAAGTTTGTTTAAGCGTCTACAGCATCTTCAGACGTAAGAAGCTAATGATAAACCGAGAAAATCAAAATGGTGAAAGGCAACAACAAGAACAATCAACCACTGATTAAAGGGTCTTAATTTGTGTTTGGGGTAAGGAAATTACAAGACGTCGCTATGATCTGGGTGTGTGGTAGATATATGTATATTATATATATATATATTCTGGTAGTATACACATACATCTGTATCTAGATGTAAACCAGTTGAGCAGTTTTTCTTTGCTCTTTAGATGCTGATTTCAGGGTCTCATTTGTGCAGCACTTTATTTCTGGTAGTTGCTCTTATAATAATTCTGCAATACGTGTTCAAACAGAAGAGACTGGACAACAGTCAACTGAGCAAATTTACCAAAATAAAGTGTCACACCTCATGAAAGGGTTAAATTGGGATTTCTGTTTTTGAATTAGCCAACACGTATTAATACGAACCAGTTTACAAACTTCCCACCTAATTCAGTTAATTTATTTGAATATGACTCAATCGTAGTAATGTATATTATCTTTAAAATCAATTCATAAGTTATATTCTTTAAATCAAGTTGTATGTTATTGTAAAGAATATGTTCAACAGCTGAGAACATAAATATTGTGTTGTCGGACAAACACTGAACATGTTTGTCATATTTCTCAAGACTTTTTCTTACTGGATCTACTTTAATAAAGTAGTGGACCGGGAACAAAGCCTTGAGGGACACCACATCCAGGACAGGTAGACCGTGAAATAGATCAATATAAAGAAGTGACATTAGACCAGAACCCAGGTGGATCAAAAAGAATATTTGAACTGAACCAACATCTCTCACAGTAGGAATGGACGGGGGATTAGAAAGTGTTCTACCTTTTTGTTTGTGGATAAACACTTTTTATTATAACATGTTAGGAATATCCGCAATATGCACAATATTTCTATGTACTCGCTACACATTGATGGAAGTAATCTTCTGCTGGAGTTATATTTAACTTGTACTTCCATTTATGTTTGTGTGAAATGACCCAATTTAACCCCCATTACACGACTGGAAGGTGGTTTTCTTTTCTCGGCATGCAGCTGCTTTCCTTCTGGTGATTAAAACAATCCCACTTGGTCTCTCTTTGATTTGTTGGGCTATCATTTATTTACTATCTCAGGTGGCAGGTTCCCGTCTGCTCAAAGATTTTAGCTAGTAGCCTGAGCTAACGGGCAGGCGGAATTTCCCATCGCTTGCCTCACCGAACAAATGAATGTCTGGTTCCCCTCGGACCGTTGTGAAGGTAAAAGCCATTGAACACATGGAAAGCACCATGAGATGCTTCCAGAGGTTGCTGTGCAGGTGTGGATCCATGGGGAGCTTCTGGTCCTCTCAATGGAAAACCTGCTAATGCTAACTAGCATTAGGAAGCTAAAGAGGTGGAAGAAGTACTCTGATTAAATATAAATGTGCTGTTAGGTGGTTGATGTTGAAGCATCACTGATACCGATCCAGATGGTTTAAATACAGTCTAGTCCAGTTGGTACAAAGTGTCGTCATATCTGACGCAGAGCTCGCAAGATGATTAAACGCAGAGACGAACAACAAAGTTGGACTTTGGTCTGAATGTTTCTAAAAATACGTATTATTTTCGTATTGCTAAAACAAGTAAATGCTAGAGGTTTATTGGGAGAAACGTTTCTTTGGAGGAACATCTCAGACGTTTCAATTATTACCGCCACCTTTTGCAATTGAATACAAGCAGTTTTTAAAATGTTACTTTCCCCTCCAAAGTAACTCCAATCTGTCGGATTCATGTAGTGCGGTAAAAAAAGTACAAAACTCCTTCTGCCAGATGGCTGCTCAACTCCGCTACTGTGATTCAGAGTGATATTTTCATATCAAAAGCTCCGTTCTCACAGGTTAATGGCCTCGCCTTTGATATCTCAGGTGGGTGTTATGCCCTGTGGGGGCTTTCTGCATCGTTTCAGTAATTCACAGTTCCTCTTTGTCCATGTGTTGTGTTGAGGTACGACAGCTACGGCTACCAGTCGGTGTCCAGTGAGAGTCTGGGAAATTCACCCGACGACATGCAGAAGTACGTTTTCATCTACAGGTGAGGCGCCGTGCTGGTGGAGGAGAGAACACACCTGTGCACATCTGGACAGTCCGCCCACCCGTGGGATGAATCACGAAACTGTGAAAAGACATTTAAGCCCTTCCTGTGCTGATCCGGTGATTTAGGACTTCTTCTTGTTCTTCTGGCCACACAGGGAGCAGAATGTGAATGTGACGGGGAAGCATCAGTACCAGAACAAAACCGCCTTCCTCAGAGCGCCGTTCGCCGTTCAGTTCCAAAGCGAAAAAACTGGTCAGTCGACACCAAACGCGTTTTTCAGCCAAACGTCTTTAGCTGTGACAAGTTTAGAGTTCAATAATAGAACTGTAGTAGGCGGGAAACACGTCCTTCTTCCTTCAGGGACAAAAAACATTTTAAATTTACAAGAAACATGAATCAAATGTATTCTGTTTTTATCTGTTGTGTTATTATTGAAGCAAAGGAGACAAACAAACACTTTACAGGTGAGACCAACTTTCCTGTGTAAATAACTGACTCCTTCCTCTCTCTTCCTGTTCTTGCTTCCTTCCTCATGTCCTGCAGCGATCGGGTCCTTTGTCCTGGTTCCTCTGCACTCGGACGCCCTTCAGGCCGTGCAGGAGATCGACCGCCTCTACGACGTCTTTGAAGAAGTCACCGAGAAGTGGAACAACACTGTGAGAATGGGGTTTAAAACACAGAACGATCATCCGTTTTTAGCCGCTAGCCAGAAGCATGGAGCAGCCCGGCAGAATCACTACACCCAAACCTTCACCTCACCCAGAACATGGCCCTGTAGGTTTGTGGTGGGAACAGCGCGGTGGTGGTGAGCTTCATAAGGTGTGTGTGTGTGTGTGTGTGTGTGTGTAGAATGTCATGTTCCTGGGAGACTTCCACGCCAGCTGTGCCTACGTGACCCGAGCCGACAAGAAGAACATCCGGCTGATCACCAACTCCTCTTTTAGCTGGCTGATCGGAGACAAAGTGGACACCACCATCTCCTCTGACACCAACTGCGCCTTTGACCGGTAGGTGTGTGTGTGTGTGTGTTTGTGTCTAGGTTTTTCGGTCATGTATTTGTTCTTGTAAGCACCAGATTTGTGTGTGCTTGCTTGTAGGATCGTGGTTCATGGAGAACCCTTCCTGAAGACCATCAGTCCGTTCTCTGCAAAAGTCTTCAACTATATGAAGGACTTCAAACTACCCAAGAGAGAGGTCTGTGTGTCTCCCCTCTGTGATAAAGAGCTGTTCATTGTCCCCTCAAGATGAACCATGGTAAAAGAGTCTCCATGTAGCGCTCCCATCAGCTCCACGCAACTTTGGTTCAGCACCAAAGGACGTTTCTCCTGTAAAATACTGACTAGATCTGATTCTCTGGCGTCAGCACCTTAGTCGGTCTTTCCACGCCGGACGCGTCGAATGATGAAATACCAGCCGGTGAGTCGAGGGCTTTTATTGTGAAGGAACAGAAGCAGGGGATCTGGTCGGCACCGCCTTGGAGAAAGTTGAAAGGAGGAATGAAGTTTGCCTTCAAGGGTCTTTCTAAGGAGCCTCTGTGAAGTTGTTTGGTTCAAGTAGAAGTCGCTTACAACGTCTTCAGGGTGTGAAGCAAATCAACCACGTTTAGAATAAAAAAACACCTCTTTTGTTCTGTGTCAAAGCATCGACGACATCAACGTCAAATTAGAAAAATATAATTAAGTGCAGAACAACCACTGAGTCTTGGTCACTAGTATTAGTAACTGAGTGCAGAGCTGTGATTGGTTGGATGAATCTCTGGTGAAACACTCGATGAGCTCAGCACCTGTTCTGAATTTCAGAGGTGAATCAGGTTCTGTTCTCCTATGAACCGACATGCAAAGGGAAGATCAGCAAGCCGACAAACTAATTAATTATTTAAGTGTCATTTTGTCTCCAGTTCTGCACGTCCTGTCCAAGCAAGTGGGCGTCGTTGACTCTGAGCTCTGTTGCTTCTGTCTGCTGCAGGCGCTGCAGGTGAGCAACCACTTACCTGTGGAGGTGCGGCTAAAGAGCTCCGCCCTTCTCCTCCAGGCCACGCCCCTCCTGATCCTGGCCCAGTCCTTCCTGTCCGCTCTGTGATCGACTGCTTCGGTCTCGAAGGCCTTTTTTTAAATGTTTCTCCTCTCAGGGATCTGCCAACATGGCTGACGGCAACAAAGTCATTCACCTGGATGAATGTGTCATGTGACCCAAGCCAACCAACGGGTGAATGAGAAGCAACCGGCTGTTTTTCAATGTTTACGCTCTAATTATTATTCATTCACATTGTTAAGAGACAGACGCTGAATGTCTGCAGACCAAGAAGATACACTTCACATCTTCAGATGATGCCGTCATCAACAGATTATTGCTGCATTGTTATGAATTATAGCATTAAAGACGACGTATAAATGATTTAGACCTTTGTCTGATAAAAAGCACCAAATTTACACTTTTTGAGTAAAACCTGCTTCTGGTTTAGAAGAGAACAAATAATATTAAAGTTTGTGGATTTAACAGTATTAATAGGCATGACATCTACATTCTTCTGTGTTCTATTGATTATTGGGAAGAACTGAACAATGATCACATTATTGATCCGCTGTAGTGCATTCCTGGTTTAAAGGACTTTCAATGGATGTAAATGTTGTACACGTTTTAAGGACATCATGTGACCGTTTCCTGTTTCCACCTCCGGTCTGGTCCTCTTGTACGGAAACTGGAATATTCTACTGTAATGTTTATTTGTTTTTAAATCATTTTAGTAAAGTTATCGAAAAGCTGATTATCTTGTCAACGCTTCATAATGTAACATTTTTTAAGAAATGAAATGATTATTGCTGCGGAACATTAACCAGCAGGTGGAAACATGAAGCCAAAAACCATGAGCCGTATATTTGATCTTCAAAACGAGATGGTGCTTCATTCATTTGGTCACAAAGGAAGATCAGCTGCTGCTTCTTACTGCTGCTGTCAATCACATATTCAAATAAACTTCATTAGGAATGTTAATGAATGATCAATAATGTTCCCCTATTGATCTAAATGTTAATTAGAACTGACATAAAATTGCTTCACAATCTTGGTCGTCTTTTGCATTAAATCATTTGTAAAAAAACCAAATCAATGGACATAATTGATTTATTGATATGAGTCACGTTCACCCGTCTTCAACAAGTCAGGGTCTCATTTAAGAAGACCGGGACAGTCCACAGACAGAGACATTTCCAAGATGTCCAACCAGCAAAGGAGAGACGTCCTTCTCAGAGGACAGGAGCACAGACGACAGAGCACATATACCTGATTATTCTGGAACCTTCCGTCTCAACTCGAGTTTGCATGTAAACCTCAACGATATCTTGGTATCAGGGTGGTGGCTGACCTCTGACCTTTCAATTGACACTCAACTTGAAGCAATAGGAGCTGTCGTAATTCTGTCCACTGCCTACAATGGAAGGAAGGCACCTGTCCTCAAGTGAACGTGGACTTCTGCGTCTGTCCCCAAAAGGGCTTTTTTGATACTTGACAGAAGTGAAATAATGATCCTCTGGGAAAACAACCTACCCCCCCCCAAAAAAAATATATATATAAGAATTTCTGTATAAAATACTTAAAATAGATTAATGGGGCAAGAGGTCACGGTCCAGATGCATTACTATTTAAACTAATATCCATGTAAAGATTCTAAGGTACAAAGCAGGACGGCCTGCTCTAAGACATTGTTGAAGCTCCATCATAAGACTTGTGAGTTGACGTGTAGGCTGCTTCATGCAAGCTGCTTATTCTGAGTCTAGAATAAGAACTCTTGGTAGTCCTAGTGATGAAATGAATGCCATTTAAGAGCGAGGTTGGGATTTACATGGATGACATTGGATGAGCCCGTGTTTCAACTGGAGAACAAAAGGAAAGTATCTTGGCTCTGTGCTCTAAACCCAGTCAAATCTAAAGATCCTTTCAGTCAAAGCACCGGCCCCAGAAGGGAAATCCGATCTAATTGGCAACCAGCATTCTATTTCCATGACATTTCCGTGATGACGTCTACACACAGAGTGTTGTTGGGTGCTGTCCAGTGGTGGACTGCGTACATTTAACGCGCTGAGCCAGCGTCCACCGGTAGCCTGGACCAGAGAAGAGACGAGGATGATGGACAAACTTCTTCTGAGCATTTTCGTCCTGTCAGGTAAGACTTATACATGTTTTTATGATTTCTCATTTAACATGATAACATTGTTAAATTAATTCACCTTCCTCTTCTTTCTTCCTTGTTTCTTACTTCAATGTAGAATAATATATATAATTATTTATTTAAACCTCTATTTAACCAGGAAAGTCCCATTGAGATTACAAATCTCTTTTTCTAAATTTCAATTAGCATAAGTTATTAATACCAAACGTGATAAACATTCAGTTTGTCGCCCCAGGGCTGTGTCCCGTCTCATCCCACCGCCCTGTACGTCGCTACGATTTTGTTTACGAGCCAAAGACCATGATTGAAGCACAGCGTCACTGCAGAGAGAAGTACACGGACCTGGTGACCATCCGCCACGCGGAGGACGTGAAGACCCTGACCAGATGGTGACTCAAGCAAGATGGCCGACTACGACCATGTGAGTGTTCTGATGTCAGAGACAGAAGGTCTGAAGGTTTCACCTTCTCACAGGGAGGGAAGCGTGTACTTGTACTGGAGTGTCATTGATTCAATGCCTTCTCATGATACGTTTCAGAGGGTTGTTGGTGTGACAGAGTAGGATTTCTGTCACAATGAAACATTGCTTCTAGGTAGCCTGGATAGGACTGTATAATGATGTGGCCAGCTGGAGGTGGTCACTGTCAAACGCGAGTTTCTACCGACCCGGGGAGGCGCAGTTCAGACGATGGGGTCCTGGCGAAGGGTCCAACAACTATAAATACTACACATGTATGTATGCAGATGGGTCCTGGATGGACTACCCGCCTGAGGCTTCCTTTAGGTCCGTCTGCTTCGATGCTGGAGGTGAGATTAAAACTAGAAACGTTCATCTAGTGGTGATTCTGGCACCCCCTGTAGACAAAGGTGGTAGTGTCCCCTCTCACCAGGTCCCTCTAGAAACCTCTTCTTACTGCAGCGGGGTCTGATAGTCCTGGTTCTGGTTCTCCTGGGCCTCCCTAAACTGAGACTGGTTCATATAAAATATCAGGACTAAACTGAGACTGGTTCATATAAAATATCAGGACTTAACTGAGACAAGTGTGAATCTGTTTTGTCTGTTGTCACAGCTCTTCTCTCTGGTCTCTTCTCAGGTCTTAATGAGACATTTATCTTCATTAACATCTCCATGAAGTGGACTGAGGCCCAGACCTACTGCAGAGACAACCACACAGACCTGGCCAGCGTGAGGAACCTGGCAGAGAACCAGAAGATACAGGATCTAGTTCCCTCACAAGGAATAGTCTGGATCGGTCTATTCAGAGATGGATGGAAGTGGTCTCACGGGACTCACTCCTCATTTACAAACTGGAAACAAGGTGAACCGAAACTTTCTGAAGAGACTTGTGTGGCAGCAAATTTCAGTGCCGATGGACAATGGCAGGTCTCCCACTGTCAGGACATGAGACCCTTCATCTGCTACACCGGTAAGATACCATTCACTTATTCTTTACATGTTGATTTCAGTTTAATTCATCCATAAATACAGTTTAAGGAATACAGAAAAGCATCTGCTAAGATTGTTCCTTTGATTTTTTAGATGTGCCTGTTTCAAAGCAAGTGATCAAGGTGAGGCTGCAGAAGAGCAGCTCCTCTGTGGACCTCAATGACCCTGTGGTGATGGAGAACATGTTGGAGAAGGTACATCTCTCTTGTGTCCAAACAACAAAGCTGTTAAAGAGGGAACCAGAGTGGTTGTGAACCAGAGCTTCCACATGAGGACAGTGAGAGAAAGGACGTGAAAGAACAGCAGCATCTAGTGAAGAGTTCCTCTCTGTTTTTGTGTCTCAGCTCAAACAGAGGCTGAAGGACCAGGGGCTGGACGACCACATCCAACTGAGCTGGAAGAAGCAGCCGGATGGAAAAGTCTTCCACAAGGAGGAGAAGAAGACACAGGACGAGAAGACGTGTCCAGAGAAAGATGAGCTTTAATGTTGTTTCAGTCCACCGGGGTCAGAGGCTTCCTTTGTCCTCCTCTTCTTCTTCCTTTTCCTCCTTCAGAGGTTATTGAAAGCACAGGTGGTGAAAAGCCAGAAACAGGACCATTGCTGCACCACGTCAGCGTCGGTTCTTTACCAGCCTCTTGAGGAACGCATAGTGAGAACTTATGGAACCCTTGGGGTACGAGTGTAACATCCCGTTCATGTTTCCTGTTTCTCTTTCACCTGCCCCTGTTTCCCCCCCGACCCACTTATCTACCCCCCTGCCCTCCTTGTCTGGCTGCTTGTCTTTGTCTTACTCTGTGTCCTCATCGCTCAAAGTTCTGTCCGGGGTTTTCTTCGGTGGTTTATGACGCTTCGCTACTCGGCTTAATCAGCAATAATGATCTAATAGCAAGCTGTTTATTATATTAAAGCTCTATGAATAGTTTATTCTTCGTGGTTTCTTCATTAAAATAAAGTCACATTTCTCTGGTCTGTTTCTCATTGTTTCGGCATCAAGAACAAAACGTCCCGCGTTCCTTTCGAGAGTGAAAGCAGGTTTACCACAGAGCCGAGATCAGTTCAATCCAATTCATTTTATCGTGCATAGCCCCAAATCCCAAATTACAGAGTGGTCTTACACTCTGTGCACAGGCAACGTCCTCTGCCCCCCACAGGACCCCCCAAAACAAAAAAGGAAAACCCTTCCATGGGTGAAAAGGCAGAACGTCAGAGGAGGATCCTCGCTCGGTGGCCAGACTGCGATGGATGTCGCCGGGTTCACTTCCTCCGTCCAAACCTCCGGAGCCCAACTGGGAAACAGGCCGTCAGACCGCCCAGCACCGGGACCAGAGGCGGGCCCGGCCATCGGGGGGTACCGGCCGCCCCCATCACCACCCGTCCCTCCCTCTGCCAGCGCCGACTATATTCAGACTCTTACAGAACGTTAAATCTAAAATCACTGACTGACATTTATACTCCTCCCTGTTTTCAGACTCATGGGTTTCCATCTTCTTTACTCATCTGATCTCTTCTGTCCGTCTAACTTTGCTTTAGCTGTTGGTAAATGTCAAATCCCTCCACCACAAACATGTCAAATATCACGTGTCCATCATAACTCCTGTCTTGTTATATGGAGCGGAAGACGACAGCAGGGCAGAAAAACATAAATCCTTTGAACTGAAAGCAGAGGGAGAAAAAGAAGAGCTGTCCGGAGGAACCTGAAGAACAACAGCCCTCCATTAAACGTTCACCTCAGTAACGTTTATATCCTTCTGGTCCCATTTCCTCCTCCTTTCCTCCCCCTTCTCCTCCTTCTCTCCCTCCTCCTTCTCCTTTCCTCCCCCTTCTCCTCCTTCAACTCCTTCTCTCCCTCCTCCTTTCCTCCCCCTTCTCCTCCTTCAACTCCTTCTCTCCCTCCTCCTTCTCCTTTCCTCCCCCTTCAACTCCTTCTCTCCCTCCTCCTTCTCCTTTTCTTCCCCTTCTCCTCCTTCAACTCCTTCTCTCCCTCCTCCTTTCCTCCCCCTTCTCCTCCTTCAACTCCTTCTCTCCCTCCTCCTTCTCCTTTCCTCCCCCTTCTCCTCCTTCAACTCCTTCTCTCCCTCCTCCTTCTCCTTTCCTCCCCCTTCTCCCTCTTCTCTGCCTCCTCCTCATCCGTTCCTCCTCCTTCACCTCCTTCTCCTTAAACTCCTCCCTCTCTTCCCTCTCGTCCAGCCGGCGGATGGATTCAGGAATGAGGATCCGGTCGGCTGAGCGTGTGAGTGCGGACACTTCACGACCGAACACCGGGATTTCTCCTCCCGCGTTCCGTTACCGAGCCGACGTGCGGTGAGTTCACGAGCTCCGGAGAGTCATCAAATTAGTCGGTGATCGATCGGTTATCGGCACAGTGGCTGTAAGAAAACTTCTTGCTAGGAAGTTATCAGCTTGTTTGCTAACTTTCTGGGCACTAGCTAAAGTGTTTCCGCCGTTAGCGCCTCCGACGGTCCGTTTGACCCACAAACTGTCCGTTAAGTTGAGTCATTTATGAACGTGTCACTGTAACCGGGATTTACGGGATTAACGGGAGCCGTTGGGCCTCAACGGTAGTTGTTATAGAACCTGCGGGGCGCTAACTTCATCTGACGTTCGAACACACAGGGATTAGCTCGATGCTAACGTTAGCATCCACTGCTCCTTTATTAACGCTAACGAGCTCATCCGTTCACATTATTATCTCCTGATCATCACAGCACTTTAGCTGTTATTGATCAGTATTTTCTATTTATTTATTTATTAATCTGTGGTTTTGCTCTGTGATCAAAAAAATGAAACCAGCTTTAAAAATATGAATTATGAATTATTTAATAAACCATAATCTATAACATTGTACAAGTATAAACTATGTTTGCAGGATATGGAGTAAAACCCTATTTGATCGGGGTGCCGCGGCTCAGGAATCCTCTTTTGTTCCCACAGGTGAGATAAACTGCCCCGCCCCCCCCCGCAGGTGTTGGTCTTCCCAATTGGACACCCGCTGCGCTGTAAATCCGACATGGTGCGACATGGTTTGCATTGGGAGGCCCCCCCCCCCTCCTGGCTGTGTAACCGGAGCTCCTAAAGTGACCTCGATGTCCCGGTGAGCTTCGCCATCAGCAGGTATGGAAGGTGGAGGAAAGCCACCGTAGTCACAGTCAGTCAAGCAGTCAGATACAAATGGCATTTCCCCCCAGTGGCGTCATGGCGTCCCGGCTGCTCTACCGTCTGAAGCGCTCGTTGTTTAAAGATGGTCAAGGGGCGGGACCTGAGCAGGAGTCCGCGTGCGGACAGGAAGTGGAGGACGGCTGGGAGGCAGAGCTTGAAGAGGAGGAGGAGGAACGGGTGACCGATCGGTTGGGCGGGACGCTGTCCTTCGACGCTGGAGGAGGCGAAAGAGTTGAGGACGGGAGCGAGGAGCTGGACAGCGATTCTGACTACCTGGGAGAGTCGATGGAGGAGGGGCTTAGCAGCACAGGTGGGATTTACGCGTGGGTTCAGATTAGCTTCTTCTTCCTGTTTGGATGCCGGTTGGATGTGGTTGCGCTAGCTAGCTTGTTAGTACTTCTCTTTGAGGGAAGGTTGGTTGAGGCCTCAGTGAGCAACGCACCTGGAAGCTCGAGCTACGATGCTACGAGCTAATGTTAACAAAACATGACGCTGCCGCCACACCGAACGCCGGCATGTTAACGATGACCTCTGAATCCCTGTACCCCCGCAGACACCAGTCCGGTGGGCGTGGCCCCAGTGGGCGTGGCCCCGCTGGCCCCTCCCACGTCCTTCCTGCTGACTCGGCAGCTTCAGGAGAGCTGGAGGACCCTGCGTGGACTCGGCGGAGGAAGCCCCGCCTCCACCGGGAGGCAGCCGACAGACGACTTGCTGTTTGAGGTGACGGACGCCAGTGTGGTGCAGGACGCCTCCTCTAAATACGTGGTGAGTTCAAAGGGGGGGGGTACTTTATCTAACTCATTTAAAATCCTGCCCCAAATAAAACGTCTCCTTTTAATCAGATTCTGTTAAAAACATTAAATTCTGAGCTCCTCAGAAAAACTACGACGGCACCACTGATTCATCTGAGACCAACAGTCATGTGACCATTAATCAGATGCTTTTTACTTTCGTTAAATGAAACCGCAAGTATTTGTTCTGCCTGTTGAGTTACAAACAGACTACAATTTGATTAGAACCATAAATGATCCGTCAAGTCGTTGAAGGAACAAACACAATGGAGATAAAAGTATTGATATATATTTACAATATGTAAGATGATGAAGTGGAGTCTGAATGAACCCCTGGATCCTCCCTGAGTCGCCTCCGTCTTCCTGCAGCTCTACACCATCCACGTCGTCCAGTCCGCCGGCAGCGACAAGACGCCGGCTGTCATCACCTGCCGCTACTCCGACTTCCAGCGGCTTCACGCCGCGCTGCGCCGCGACCACGGAGATCAGATGGGGCGCGTCTGCTTCCCGCGTGAGTAGAACGCCGTCTCCCCTCGCCCACCCCTGAGAGCCTCGCCAGTAAAAGCCGCCTCTCGTGCGTGCAGGAAAGAAGCTGCGCAGGAACTACACGGCGGAGACAATCGGCAAGCGGAGCCGGGCGTTTGAGCAGTACCTGTCTCACCTGTGCTCCCTGTCGGGCCCGCGGGGGGCGCCCTGCGTCCGACACTTCTTCTACCTGGCCGACCTGCAGGCCGGACAGCTGCTCATCAGGTGGGTGGCGCGCCGCTCATATCGACCCCTTCTGCGGGAATCTAAACAGGAGGTTGACGGTTGTGTAGCAACGTCCCGCCCCTGCCTGGATTTGATTTGTTTGGAAGCAACCAGCCGGAAACATGTATTTCAAAGCTTC